TTTCTGTAGGGCGCGGCTATTGCGCATGTATATTTGAATAAAAAAGTTGTTTTGCCTTTGTCTATGTACCTTTTGACTTTCTTCCTCCTCTCTCATTTTTTTGTCTTTTCTTTCTTGGGGAGAAGATCTTTGGATTTCTCCGTGATGAGTCCCTGACCTTTCTAATTGGAAATTCGACCTTGCCCGGATCGAGTAGGATCCCATTGTGTGGGATCAAATGAAGTTACTTTGGATCTGCAAGTTCGGGTGAGGTTGACTTATGATTTGCCAACCTGGACGGGATCAACCTTGATTTAAATGAGGTCGAATTAAGACTCGCCATCTTAGGCGAAGTCAGTTTTAACTTGTATATTCGAACGAGGTCAAACATGGAGTCTCCATCTTTGGCGAGGTCAATTTCTGACCTATATATTCGAACTAGGTCGAACTTGGAGTCTCCATCTTTGGCGAAGTCAATTTTTGACTTATATACTCGAACGAGGTCGAACTTGGAGTCGCCATCTTTGGCGAAGTCAATTTCTAACATATATATTCGAATGAGGTCGAACTTAGAGTTGCCATATTTGGCGAAGTCAATTTCTGACTTATATATTCGAACGAGGTCGAACTTGGAGTCTCCATCTTTGGCGAGGTCAATTTCTGACTTATATATTCGAACGAGGTCGAACATGGAGTCGCCATCTTTGGCGAAGTCAATTTCTGACTTATATATTCGAACGAGGTCGAACGAGGTCGAACTTGGAGTCGCTATCTTTGGCGAAGTCAATTTTTGACATGTATATTCAAACAAGGTCGAACTTGGAGTCTCCATCTTTGGCGAAGTCAATTTCTGGCTTATATATTCTAACGAGGTCGAACTTGGAGTTGCCATCTTTGGCGAAGTCAATTTCTGACTTATATATTCGAACGAGGTCGAACTTGGAGTCGCCATCTTTGGCGAGGTCAATTTCTGACCTATATATTCGAACTAGGTCAAACTTGGAGTTGCCATCTTTGGCGAAGTCAATTTCTGACTTATATATTCGAACGAGGTCGAACTTGGAGTCGCCATCTTTGGCGAGGTCAATTTCTGACCTATATATTCGAACTAGGTCAAACTTGGAGTTGCCATCTTTGGCGAAGTCAATTTCTGGCTATATATATTCGAACGAGGTCAAACATGGAGTTGCTATCATTGGTAAGGTTAATTTCTGACTTATATATTTGAACAAGGTCAAACTTGGAGTCGCCATCTTTGGCGAAGTCAATTTCTGACATATATTCGAACGAGGTCAAACTTGGAGTTGCCATCTTTGGCGAAGTCAATTTCTGACCTATATATTTGAACTTGGTCGAACTTGGAGTTGCCATCTTTGGCGAATTCAATTTCTGACTTATATATTCAAACGAGGTCGAACTTGGAGTTGCCATATTTAGTGAAGTAAATTTCTGACTTATATATTCGAACATGGTCGAACTTGGAGTCTCCATCTTCGGCGAAGTCAATTTCTTACTTATATATTCAAACGAGGTCGAACTTGGAGTCGCCATCTTTGGCGAAGTCAATTTCTGACTTATATATTCGAACGAGGTCAAAGTTGGAGTCGCCATCTTTGGCGTAATCAATTTCTAACTTATATATTCGAATGAGGTCGAACTTAGAGTCTCCATCTTTGGCGAAGTCTATTTCTGACTTATATATTCGAACGCGGTCGAACTTGGAGTCACCATCTTTGGCAAAGTCAATTTCTAACATATATATTCGAACGAGGTCAAACTTGGAGTCTCCATCATTGGTGAAGTCAATTTCATATATTCGAACAAGGTCGAACTTGGAGTCGCCATCTTTGGCGAAGTCAATTTCTAACTTATATATTCGAACGAGGTCGAATTTGGAGTCGCCATCTTTGGCGCAGTCAATTTCTGACTTATATATTCGAACGAGGTCGAACTTGGAGTCGCCATCTTTTGCGATGTCAATTTCTGACTTATATATTCGAACGAGGTCAAACTTGGAGTCGCCATCTTTGGCGAAGTCAATTTCTGACATATATATTCGAACGAGGTCGAACTTTAATCTGTCGATTCGGGTGGGTGAATTTTCTTTTGCTTGGCAATGGCCAACAGCCGTAGAGATGTGAATTTGGAGATCAAAATTGTGATCCATTATAAATTTGAGCGAGGACAAAATTTCCTTTTATTTGGCGGTGGCCGATGACTGTAAGGTGTTAATTCAAGCGAGTTCGAATTGTAACCCATTTGACGATGTGCGGGTTTGGAGGGATGGTGAGCTTTGTCTGTTGCATTGCTTTTATTGGAGATCGTTACTCATTACCGCGTTGTTTGTGCGTGCATCGGGATGAGTCCCAGTTTGCTTAAATTTTTTTTCATTAGAGAGTAATGTGTATCGTTGCATAGTTTGTACGCTTCGGTGGAATCCCGGTGTATCTGATCCCTTCGTTTCTTTGCCCGAAAAAGGTCGTTGGCGAGACGAATGATGAATTTTCTGTTCGGATTACTGGGCACTAGGCTTTTCCAATACATGCTTTGTCGGATGGGGAGACTACATTTTGTGGACCCGTTGCTCGGTCCCTGATTTCGGAGATTGTCTTAGTAATGTTGGCCTGTTCTAGGTTAAATCTGTTATTTATGATACGACATGGAGCAGAAGGCTTTGCTTGGTCATTGCTTGCGAGATGGTACGGTGTGGAACATTTTCCCGGTGTGTCTGGTGGATTTCGTTCCTTATTCGCGTACCTATGAGAATGCTCGTGTTCCTGTTCTGAGCCAAAGAAAGTATGATAAGTTACATCCAAACGGAATTGCCTGTTACCTTGGCCTCGAAAGTCGGTGAAGGGGGAGAGGCGTCATAGGGTTACTTGTTTCACCCCTTGCTCGAATGGCGGTCTCTGATTTGGTAGCCGCGTTTGACTTCGTCGTTGGTTGAATCTAGACTTCTCGTAGGATGGATTTACTTCGTCCTTTGGGGGTCTCGAGTTCGAGTCCCAATCCGATATGCGCAAACAACAAAGGGAATCATGTCATACTCGTCCGTAGATCACACGGCGCGTGTGGATAGAAAAACAAAGCAGGATACACATCTTATTTTAGAGAATCACTCAGTAGGCCATTGTCCCTTCCTAAGAGGCAGGAGTATAGGTCGGCATATAGAGTAAATACGTTAAATAGGATTGTGGTCATGCTAAGTGCGTGGTGATTGTGGTCCTACTTTGAATACACATGACATGCCAAACCCATCGCTACAGATGATGTGTGGGTTTTGCATAGACATCAGACATGATCTCGATTTCGTGTGAAGATCTGACCCAGATTGGTTTGGTTATCTCAACCACTTATTTACCACTTTTTCGAGTTGGTGTTCGCACCGAGATAGTGAGGCTATGACAGCCAGGAAGTGATACTTTGGCTAGTTTTAGATCTAAAAGAAACTAAAATTTTGACTAAAAAATCCCCACAGACAGCGCCAAATTCTTTGACCAAAAAGTGCTAAGCTTTTTGTTAAACTAATTAATGAAGAAAATGGAAGATAAATCTCAGCCAAACATAATTAACTCTAGATCTAAACACATTGAATACTAGAATCGAATGAGGTCGAGCTTGCACAACACTTCTTAAGATTATTAAAAGACATCAACATAAATGATAAGCTTACATCTTTGATACATTGTTCTGTACTTGTAAGAGCAAAGAAGGAAGGGGATGAATGCCATTGATAACTATGAGATCTATCTCTATTGATTCAACAATGACAATTACAAAGGTTTGCCACCAAAATTTAGGCTTTTGCTTTGTTGTTGGAGATCTCCTCCCGTTCTTCTGTTCCTTTTTCTCTCTCTGGGACCCCCCTTTTTCTTGCCTTCTTACCTTATATATATATTACAAATCTTCCCCTTTGTCCCACAGTCTTTAACCAGCATACCCTCTCTCTTGACTATACTCTTCCTTACTCGTTTAAGCATTACGACATATATTCTGCCGTGCAAGCTTTCTGATGGTTCGATCTTGATAGTGACCGAGATACTCATCACTATTACGTTTTGTGGGTACGACCATGGCTTGGTCGACCCCTTACCATTCCTTTTAGTGATAATCCACTTGTGGTCAGATTTTGACACATATATACTATAAATACGATTTATAAATCGCAGTGACATTATAAGTATTTATAAATCGAATTCCGAAAGTAGAATGTAAGTTATAACTCTCGCTTAGTGAATTGATTATAATAATATTATGATTGTGATATTTGATTTGTTATTGTTTTACCGGACTTGCTACTTGCTAGTTATGAAAAGATATGTTTAAAGTTTAGTACTCCGCTAATTTAAATGTAAGTGAAGGTATTCGATACGGAGTTTAATAAAGACAAAAGGACTTTTAGAATTTGGGAGGTTAAATTAGATATGCATGTACTTGGTTATAAAATAATGTCATTAAAGGTGTAAAAAAGTATTCTATAAAAAAAATAGCACCAATATTTTTAAGATTGTTTAATATCAGCCTCCAAACTTCCTAAATTTATAAATAGGCACTTTAAATAGTACAAAATAAATGTTTTAATTGCTTTTAGCAATCTACTAAACTTAAGAGGAGTTGATTTAATTGAGTTGAACAAAATGCCAAAAGACAAGGAGAGTGAATACGTGATTTTAGGATGAATAAGATCATTCATCCTTAATTATATGTTTCGGATCAGAACCTTGAAACGAAAAAACTTTTCTTTTTCAAAGGATTTTATACAACGTGAATCTGAATTAATTATTCCGGATATCATATATAGTTTCTGAGGGGGAAAAAAAAGGAAAATCATTATTCACCAATGACCAGAACATGTTCTATAAATAGCCATCCGCCCTCACATTATTTTTCCCCCCCTTCTCCTCATTTCAAGGAGCTCCCCTAAGAACCAAACGTCTACACCCCCAACCCCCTGACA